GCATGCTAGGCAAGCACTCTACCACTGAGACACAAAGCCAACCCTTATTGATAATTTCTAAAGACAAATATTGTTCCAAGAAATTCTGAATAAACTATTTAGAGAGGTTAAAATAATTTAAATGAACACAGCTGCCACTAATTTATCAGTCAGAGGAATTAAGCATAAATGGTATAATTCTTCATTTAGAACTTAAAGTTAGTTTTCATGTGGAGTTTGAGTTGGAATTCTGCATGTCTGAATTTTCTGAATGGATTTTTTTTAGGCAAGGATTACATAAGTATACATCCCAAAGAAAAAGGTAACTGCCACTAACTAGTTTTGAGACTGGGCACATCCTTGTCTATTTGAGCCTTAGTTTTGTTAATTATAAAACAGAAATTGTATCTGTTGTCTCTCTCTCATTTTCCAGAGACCCAGAAAGATCATGTTCATACACAAGTGTTGAGCCCCCAAAGTCTTTCTGATCTGAAAAGTGAAAATTCCATGTTGAACAAATGATGTGGAAGTAGCCCAGTACTGCATAAGGCCCTGAGCAAAGAACCTAAAATACTCAGCCCTTTAAAAAGGACCAGAATTCATCTACAGATCCAGGTAGAAGAGTAAATGCACTTGCTCAATGCCAATTCTTCTCTCTTACTCTTTAATCATAACTGGGAAGCCTTGGTGTCAGAAAGGACTGAGTTGGAAAATGGGGGAGGTGATACTAGAATGGCCAGACACTCATCTTAAAAATTGCGTAAGTATTTGAGAAAGAAATTTTCTACAAGGAAGAATAATGCATTGTTCTCTCTTATTATTGGGAGCATTTAAAAGATTATTTTTAATGACAGATCCTCTTCACCTTGGCATTCTTTTCTCTATCCAGAAGCACTGCAGTTTTTGCCTTGGCCTACAGCAAGCTGACAAATGTGAAGAGGAAGGAGAAAGGAATCTTCTGTGCAAGCAAGAGTTTGTTTTAGAATCCTTAGACCTTAACAGTCACTCTTTCCAGATCATTGCTTCAGTGGAGTCTACTCAGTAATGGGGTTGGTGCGCATGACAATGTCAGGGAAAGGTTTTCAGGAAAACATTCAGCTGGGAAAAATAAGATGATGATGCTAATCAAGAACAGGAATGTACTCTCACAATACACTCCCTCTAATACCCAGGAGTCCAAAGGGAATTCTGGACTAATTCCTGTTAACACAAAGGGGTCTACACACACTGTACTCCTCTCCATCCTCAACCCCAAAGATACTGACTCAGCAACTGGCCTAAAGCCAGAGCAGTATATTCCAAATTCAGTGTGCAACAATGTTCAGTTCAATTATGACATAATAACTGCAAAGCTGTTCCCAAAACCCAAGAAAACCTGAACAATGTGGTTGAGTTATATCATACGTGAGGGCTTAATAGAGTTTAAAAACCAATCTGAAAATTCCTTCATTCCTTAAAGACAGCATTAAGATGAAGGCAAAATCATCCAGTTCAAGGAATGGGAACAAAGTGCAAAAGGAATTACACAGATTCCTTTCCACATTATCGGTCGTAGCCAACGTGACCTATTCCCTTTGAAGGTATCTCTGATATTTAATATTGACCCAGAAAGAAGAAAATTTCATTAAAACATCTTAGTTTAATTGCAATTAGACTAAGTAATACCAGTTTCCTTGCTATTTTAAAAGCACACAAGCTCATTTCCAAAAACAGTTTGCAATTCAAAATTTGTCCACCCAGGCAATGTCTTCAATTAGTAATTTCTACCATTTCCAAATCACCTTGCCAAAGAAGTGAAGTTAGTCTCATGATCACACAAGACCTGAAAGACCTGAAAGTTTCATTAATTTCCAGTCATTTTATAGCAAATGGCTTTGAACATTTGAGTTGCAAATCCAACATTTCACTGGACTTGTGATATCAAGACATAAGCCTGAAGAAGTACAGTGCTCAATTTGAATGTTAAGAGCCATCCACTCTGAGGTCAGGCCCTGATGACCCTCAGTTATGTGCTACAATCTTCTGAGTCCTATTATGTTCTTTAATAGCTGTCATTGATGGAATATTTTAATATTTTGAAACGAGAAAAGTGACTTTGAATAAGGAAACTAATGTTTAAGTCTTTCACATTGCATTTTTTGTTCATTCTATATATTTTCTCCTTGAACAACAGCATATGGTTATATCCAATGAGACTAATGCAGAATTTCAGCACAAGAAGGTATCTCTAGTTCAACCCCTTTCTTCCAAAACAAAATCTCAATAAGTTTTACAGACTAATCCTCAGACTGTATCAAATAACACACCATGTTTTGTTTAAGGCTTATTTTAAGGTCGGAGTGAAAAAGGAAAGACTAAGTTTCAGAAGGAAAAATTCTTTTACCATAAAACAAGGTTCTGATCTCTAAGAAGATTCATATTAATTTTATTTTTTTGAACCTGTAGAAACAGCTGAATTCAGATCTCTTTTTCCCCAGGCATATGTCCCAAATTGCCTCAGCTGACTGAGTTTCTATTAAATATTAGTATCCTTTTTCTTGGCCACCTAGAAGGACTTTATGTATTAAGAAATAAAAAAGTCAAATTATTCAATGTCATGTCCTTCCCTCCTGACTAAACTAAAAGCCATTTCCCTATTATTTCATTAATAATATGAAAAAAATACTCAAACAATAAGAGGAAGTTCATTTGTTTATAGTTATAGCATTCTGGTTTCTGCTGAAATTCCACTGACAACAGAAGGAAGCCTGACTGTCCTGTTACAACACAAATACTGTCAACTTTGAACTTCATTGGAATGTTGTTAGTAAAGTAGAAAAAACAAACATGGATTTTCTTCAATATTATTTGAGCAACCAAGCTTAAAATAGTGGCTAGACATAGATAGGTCCTCCCTCCATGAGAAAGGACACTGGCACCCTAAGTAAGCTAGTAATTTAGTATACCTTCATGGACACTTTCAATATTTGCTGAACAGGTATTTGGGTGAGGAGTTCAACATGGCAGACCTGGAAGGAGTGTGGATTGATTGCATTCAATCAATGCAACAAAGGCCCTATAAATGATCACACAGGATCTCTTTGGAAGGCAGTCTAGTGACCATATATGGATTCTCAAATATGCCCTTCCCTGATCCAAGCTATTAATCAAAGCATTACTTATAACTGCATCTAGTAACCCTTGAAAGGTGATGTTTTATATTCTTTTCTCAGTCTTACTGCATCCCTAGTTATGTTTTCACACTCCCTTCAGGGACACTGCCTTTCCCTTTCTATATAGCATGTACTGAGTATTTACAGTGTTCTTGGCACTAGAAATATACAAGTGAGTAAAATACTGTCCCTGCCATTAAGGAACACACACCTTGGGCAGAGGAAAGACTGGTAAGGTAGTACCGCAGTAATGAAGGCTATGGCAATAAAATAGAGATTACTGATTGCTATGAGTTGGATATGCTTTGAGTGTATTCCCCAAAGATTCATGTGTTGGAAGCTTGGTCCCCAATGTGACAGTGTTGAGGTGGGGGAACAATTAGGGGTGGGGGTGATTACTACCTTCAGAAGGGATTAATGCTGGTCTCTCTGAGTAAAATAATTTTTTTCAAGAGTGGGTGTTATAAAGTGAGGTCACCCCACATTTTAGTCCCTTCTGTGCATGGCCAGTTCTCTTTCTGTTTCTCCACCATGATGTGACAAAGCCAGAGATCCTTGGCAGGACTCCAGTGTCATAATGTTATGATCCTGCAGTTATCAGAATTGTGAGTTAAATAAGCCTCCTCATAGTTATCCAGCCTAAAGTATTTTCCTACAGCAATAGAAGTAGGACTAAAACTCTAGTGAAATGTTCTAAAATCCTTAGAGATGAATACTTTCTAAAAATCATAGACATTGAATCTTGGCTCCATCTCTTAAAGTTAATTCTTAGGTAAGAAATGGAATAAAAAAGTAATGCCTTTACGCCTCCTGATCCCTGTGCTTGTAGTGGGATGGGGAGTTAGAGATGTGGAATCACGTATTTATATTAACTAAGCCCCAAGTTTTCATTTCACAAATGATTTTGTCCCTAGATGAATGTAAGGGGGAGGATGGCAGAAGCTCACTCAGTCCTTGCTACCTGTGTAGCCACACATACCTAATCCAAATGGTTTCTCCCCTTCAAATAATTGCAAACAAGATTAACATCTCATTCAGGGACTACTCCAGTTGGCTTTTGGCTTTCTCTGGTGTACACTCTTTGAATAAAGCAGTACAAATATTAGATTTAAAATAAGGAACAGAAAAAAAAAAGCCTTACTACTTAAACCAGATTACCTCAAGGTCTTACTATGTTTGAAACTTCAAACCATAGCATTAGAATAACTGAATATCTCACCCAATCAGAGTATATACAAGTTACAAAATGCAAAAACCTTAATTAAAATAAACAAAGTTATTTTGAAGGCATCTCTCCACAGTGCTTCTGGGTACTTAACAGTACATTATAGCCAGGCAACAGGAACAAAATAAAAAAGTCTAATAAATTTTCAGGTTGTAAAATCCTCATTTCTATTACTTTTTCTGCCTATAATCCATCTGCATAGACACACATTTCTCTGGTGAAGGAGACAAAAATATTGATCCTACCTTGACAGGTGCCTTCTATTGCACTACAGTGAGCAGGGAAGAAAGGACGTGTGCAGCCCATCTAAAACATCCTACAAATCTTAATTTTTCAAAACTGGGCCTTTCTGGTTCCAGGCAATTCCTCAGAAGAGCAGGACAGGTTATTAGGCTGTTACATTTCACACAGAACCATGATTAGTTCTGCCTTATCCCACTGTTACAAGGATACACTTCCTTTCTCATGTGCTTTAAATTTATGTTATTTACCTACAATTCACCTCAATGTATACAGTTCCAAATATTGTATTTTTATAAGCTATCCCACAAAATATTACTAAATAAGAAAACTGTGGCTTTTAATAGCCACCTCAATTTGGTCAGTGCCGTGGACACAGAGACACAGTGGCAATGTATACTTACAGAAGTCCAGCTTAGGTGGAAAATGTACTAGAAGTGCTGGGATACCACATCCTAGACACCATCTCTACGCTTCAGGAACAGAATTCTTGGATCATGCTAGACCATACTGTGGATTTTTTTTAAGAGACACTAAAACATGAAGTACTATATAAACACTATCTAGTAAGAAACAGGGATAAAGACCACTCAGGCAAAAAATTCCTTGTTAAAGAAATCCTTAAAAACAATCTCATGCCTATTCATGTTAGTGACAATTTAATGGGGACTTTTCTACCCTTGGACTTATTAAAAAATTGCCTGAGCTGATTCTTGTCAGGGGTGGCTGACAAGGCTAAGAATTCGTCTGGAACTGTACAGTTTCTGAATTACTCTCTCACCGTGCATTGCCCAGAGGGCTGCTTCTGCCCAATAAAGCAGAGGTGGGGGTCCAGCCAGCCAGGTCCAGGGAGCCCCGCACTCACAACGGTCCCTCCCGCACCTTTCCAACCTTTTCACCCCAATTAAAGGTCAACATGGCAGCTCCAAAATATTTATTTAAAAAGGCAGTCATCCCGGCAGGCTGCCAAGTGTGTTTATATTGCCACTTCACAGAATTCAATTAAACCCGGGACCGGGGCATCTGTGAATCACTGGAAGAAGCATGAACTTGAGGTGTCCCTCCCGTCATTCATTCCCTTCCGAGCGCCCTCTCACCCCCTCCTCCCCCGCCCCCCGCAACACACACGCACACACTTGTAATCTCCCCCCAGCGGTTCATGGATTTATAGCTCCCGATTTAATTAAATTCCCTCTAACGACAGTCGGAATTGGCAGTGTACAGCACAGCACGGGCATCATTCTCCTGCCAGCGCGGGTCCCCAACCCCGAGCCGCAGGCACCCACCGCAGCGCAGGGCCCCGGCACCCACCTCAGCCTCGCGTCACCGCGACGCCGCGACGCCGCTTCCGCCCACGCCCGCGCCCGCACTTCCGCCCGCGCTCGCACTTCCGCCCGCGCCCGCCGCCCTGCGGGCGGGTGTCTAGTCACCTCGGGTCAGACCCACGTCCTCTCTCCCGAGTGGAGGGGCCCGAGCCCTAGTACAGGAAAAGTGACCCAGAAACCGACGCCCAACTGACAAAAATCCGTCAACCAGTGTATGTAGCTACATGAAAAGAAAAAAGAAAAGCGACTCCACGTGTTTGGGAACCATTTAACAACCAGCCTCACTAAATACATTCATTTTATTTATTAATGTACTATTTACTGCCCTCCTCCTCTGGGTCCCCACTGAACTGGGCTGTGGGGAACAAGATGAGCAAAATTGGCAGCTCTGTCTCCCAAAACTTAAAACCGCATAGGCAAAGCAGATATTAGGGTGATGGTTACAATTATTGTAATTACTACAGTTGTCCTTTAGGTTCTGCAATTTATTGAGCTAAGCACTTTGAACAGAAGGAATGTGATTTGTGAAAAGGTAGGAGTGTGATCTGGTTGAAGAGGTAGTTTTTGGGGTGTCCTGGCACCCGACAGCATTCCAGGCAGAAGGAGCACAGCAAAGGCCGTGTGTAGAAGAGTGACCCTTGTGGCTGCGACTTGGAATGGGGAAGAGAGGTGGAAACAGGCAGGACGGTGAGCAGGAGCCAGGCCAGGTACATAGCAAGGAGTTTCAGGTTTGCGCTAAAGACAGCTGGAGAACTAACTTTCCGATTGATTTTTTTCTGTCCCTGCGTAGGAAGGGACTTTGATCTGAAGGGACTTTTCTATTCTGAAAGGATCCCTCAGCTCTGGGAAGATGACAGCGTTTAAAATAGACAAGATTGAAACACACAAGGAGGTCAGGAGGTAACTCAGTAGGTAATCCAGATTCCAGGTGTGGTAGTACCATAAATAGAAAATTAGAGTAGAGTAATACTCAAAGCTAATATTTATTGATTGGTCACACAAAGCTTTGCAATTACTAATCCTGAGATAATCCTACTTAGTATTAGTACCAATTTATAGATGATGAATGGAGGCGTAATAACTTCTCCAAATTCTCATAACTTAAAAATGGCAGAGTTGGAATTCCATCTCATGCTATATGTTGCCAGTATACATTCAGTATATACCCAGTGACTTAAAAAAAGACAAAGAAAACAGAGATCAGAAACAAACCACACTGTTTCAGTGATGTTGCTAAAGGAAATAGTCTAGAAGTAAATTTTCAAGTTGTTCTTTATTACTTCAGATTTGCTGGTAGCTAAAAGAGGGAATTTGATAAGTGTAAACACATGGTAAATGTGGTTATTTTTGAGTTGATACACTTGGATAAGACCCAGTCTTTTGGGGATGGGGGAATCATTCCACTTAACAGTTCCTGACTGAGTATCTTTAAAGAAGTAATCTTGGTAGAGCATACATAACTTACATTTGTGGAGTGATGGAAACACTTCCTAGATACGTAATCTGAATCAGCTTCTTGTTAGAAAATGAGTCTTCGTTTGTATGAAGCAAATTGGATTTATGAAACCTGATTTCACAAACAGAAGAATGGCATCCCCAAAGGCTTTTATTATTGAAGGCTTTTTAGTGTTGGTGTGAGTAAATTTCTCTCAAGAGTCAAGGTTTGTTTATGGCTAGGAGTGTAGCTCACTCAGTAGAGTGCCTTAAGTAAGTAAGCACGAAGCCTTGAGTTCAAACCCCAGTACTGCAAAAAAAAAAAAAAAAGTTCATTCATTTCCAGAATTTTAGTTTAATTGGTAAGAATTTCTTGAGTTGTTAAATGATTGCTCAAGACTTAGAATATCCACAGTTTTTTTCAGTTGAGATTGGAGTTCAGTGAAATGACTGGGAATCCCCACAAACTCTCTGTGGCGTAAACCATAGAGAGTTTTACTAGGCTTCTCACTTTGGGAGATCCTGAGCTGGGTCATTATCCAGATGATCAGTTTGGCCCCAAGGTCCAGGACTCCTCCGCTGGGTATAAGAGCTTTGCTTGGGAAAATGTCTGGAGGCTGACCAGGAAAAAAATGATTGTCACACACACACACAAAAACAAAACCAAAAACCAGCCAGTGCAAAATTAATAAATATTTATTCAATGGCCACAAAATAGAACATTATGTCAGCTTCATGAATGACTGGATTTAGCATTTATAACAACTTCGTTACATTGAAAACGATTTTTTTATGACACTCTCTTGCCAATGAGTTTCTTTTTTTTTAAATTGTTTTATTATTGCCAATGAGTTTCTAAATTATGTGATGAGTACTGAGGAATGGCAGCATATTTGAAGTGAGTGACTTTAGCCAAATAATTTTCAAAAGCAAAATTATAAAAATCCTTTCATAGCAAGCTTATTAAATGGGGGCTATGCACAGCATTTAGAATATTTCAAGTGATGTGATAACAGTGAAAGTCTTAAGATAACAGTAGGTCTTGTATAATTTTGTTTGTTCAAAACATGCTTATCATAGGCATTCGGCCTGCGTTTTGTCCTGTAAGTCTAGACTCCAATTCTATGCTATGTCCTAGGAATCTGGATAGGACTGGAGCAGATATGTATGTGTTCTGGAGTTCAGAACTCACCTGGACTGAGTAGTTCTCCTAGATCTCAAGGCTCTGTCAGCACAATACTCTGAGGCTGAAGTCTACTCTGCAGAAAGCCTGCTGGGATAGTCTGGTCTGCAACTTCTGAGATAGCTCCAAGATACCTGAGAGAACATACTATATGTTCTTCAGGAGATGACTTGGAGCCAGGCTTTCCCCTTAGTGTCTCTTAAGTGGGTGTTGGGGTAGGTGTCTCCACTCCTGCCCCTTTGCCTTTGCCTTTAGAAAAGCAGTAGTAAAGAGAAATAGACTTTGGTGTCAAAATCTTCCCTTCAGAATGCCTTCGAAAAACAATGTGTCTTGGCAGGTAGTGACTGTCGTGCTATCTCTATTTTACTGTAATCTTGTTCTGTGTTGCCAAAGAACACACAATCTGGTCTTTAACTAGCAAGGGCAGTCCCAGGAATCGCCACAATTGGGCAATGCTCTTGTGATGGAAGAAGTATCTGAAATCTGTTAGGATTTCTTTCCTGGTGTTTTTCTGGTCTTTATAGTGAGCATATTTGTTTATCTGTGAGTCTCTCATCCCAAGAACTGCAAAATCCAGAAAACAATCTGTAAGGGCCAGATATTGTGCTACATTTAAAGTCATGGAGAAACACGTGGCAACCTCCCAAAGAAAAGACATGCTTCTGAGACTGAGATGTGTTGGGTTACTGGGGTCACTGTGGACTCCTTCTAGGCTGGCCATGGTAGGAAACAGAATTAGAGGCCTGTTGCACTAGGAGAGAATGGACCTAAGAAATCTGATTTCTGGATCCCATTTGACATTTTAAAAACTCTGCTCTTGTGCCAGACATTTAGAGGAGAGTGAAAAAAATTTTCAAAGGAGAAAAATGTTTGTTTTAAGGCTTGCTCAGTAATCCACTTATGCCATTTACATTAGTTAAACAACCTTTCCGTGTAAACACCATTAATTATGTAGTATAAGAGCCAAATAAAAATGCTAAAAAGTTAAAGTAATTGTAGAATAAATTAGTATAGCTTGAGTGGCCATACATTATAGAGAGACTGCAGACTTTTACAGAGGTGGATGTATGATTTTTCTATTGTTTGAGCTACTAGGATGGAACCAACAGAAATGACATTTTACAGATGGATACCAAAGCTGTTAAAGTTTAAAGCCTATACTGGGAATAAAATTACAGTTTTCACAGGGGCCTTAACTCCCAGCTCTCTCTTTATCTGTCTTAAAAAGACTGTGGGGTGAGATAGGTGTTGAGTGTCCCTTGGATTTCCCCAGAGGTTTGCTGGAGAAAGACCATTGCTGTCTACTCCAAAATCAGTAGCCTCCAACCTCCTTTCACTTATGTCTGTGCTAAAGGAAATGAATCAATGTGCACCTGCCAGGCACAAAGAAGAAGGGCAGGAACTGAAGCTGTTGAGGACATACAGTGTATGAGACCTTATAGTATCAGCAACAGTATACATCTGAATCACCCTTGTAGTATTTCAAGAGTTTTCATTAATGCTAGTGAATTTGGTCCCTCGCAACCCCATTTTACAGACAAGGAAATTGAAGCTTAGGGAGGGAGGTCAAAATGTAGCAGGTATGAAAAGCATTTCCTCACTTCTATCTGTGTTTTTCTACTTCCTCCTTCATGTTTCTTTCAAAATGCGAATGAAAAGAAATATGGTTTAGTTCACAGCTCTGTAGGATCTTTTAAGAATATTTGAGCACCTCTACATCATATCCTCAGGGACAGTTTTGTTTTACCTAGGGAGGCAGGAAATGGATTTGAAATGGGAAAAGTTTTTCATTTTTATGGATTAAGCCCATCTGTTGTGTTCACTAAGGCTGAATCACGGATGAGCATAGATTTCTCACAGCACGAAGAGAGGAGAGTAAAAAGCTCCTGCCTGGTTCCCTCGTGCAGATCCACACCATCCAAGAAGCCGTGTTCAGACAATCAGCCAGCCAGCTATCAATTAGAAAGACAGATGCTGCTCTCCTTGAACACATCCCAACATACTGAACAGCCTTCCATGAAACTGAAGTTAACATTTAATTGCCAGGAGAATTTTGAGGGGTTTTTTGGGGTATGAGGG